CAATCCTGTGCTCACGCTGGCCCTGCCCCACGTCACCCGGGCACAGCTGGAGCCAGCCCTTACCTGGAGAGGCAGCTGCAGTCCCAGCGGGGCCAGGAGCTTATTGGCCCAGGGGCCGGCTGTAATCACCAGACTCTTGGCTTGGTACACCCCTCCGCTGGTTGTCACGGTAACCACGACCCCCGGCTTGATGTCAGTCACCTTCTCCCCATCGCGCAGGGCTCCCCCGCACCGCCGGACCCCGTCCTGGGGAGGGAGACAGCTCAGCCTGGGGCAGGGGCCCTGCCCGAGGGGTCGAGCGGCGCAGCGTAGTGCACAGCCCCTGCAGTCAGTGGGTGTGAGCCCGGCCAGGGGACCCCTCGTTCCTGGGCCCCGCAACGGGGCCAAGCCAGGCTCTGGCACAGGAATGTGCCGGGGCCCCAGGCGGGCTGCTGGCTGCCCATGGCCTTGCAGAGACGGTGCAGAGGGCACAGGCCGGGGATGAGAAATACCAGGCAAAGCTGTGCAGCTCCGGGCGCCGTGTGGCAGCACCCCCGGGCACTGGACAGAGCACTGGGCGTTCCCCACGGCGCAGGGACTCCAGCTGAGCCTCATCCCGTGTCTGTGGCAAGAGTGGCCGTTGGTCTGGCTTGTGGCCCGGCCGGAGCTGTCCCGGTACCCCCATCTCCTGGGGCCGCGCGCCCCCAGGCCCAGCCTGGTACCTGCACAGCCCGGAGCGCCCTGTCCGCGGAGAGGACCCCTGCAGTGCGGTCGGACACGCCCACCTCCCCGCAGTAGGGCCGGATGCCGGGGAAGCGCCCGTGCAGCAACTCCGTGGTGAACAGCTCGCCGGGGATGTCGTGCTGTGCCAAGGTCCGGCAGCAGCGCTGGAACTCGGGGTCGGTGTTGGCCCCCAGAACCAGCAGCCCCGTCTGCCTGCGGAGATGGGCCGGGGAGCGGAGCGTTAAGGCACCGGGCAGTCGCTGCCCACGTCCCGGCCCCGCGTGGGGTGTGCCACAAGCCCCCTCCATTCCCAGCCCCTTCCGGCAGGGGCGGTGACTTGCCCGGGGGCCGCCAGCAGGTGGGGGGCAGGGCAGGGAATCCAGGGTCCGGGTCCTACCCACTGGGCCACGCTGCCAGGGACGCTGACTGCAGAGGGAGCGCTGTCCATGTTCCAGTATCGCGGGGTTTGGTGCAGGCTGCCGCCCCGGCGGTCGGATGTGGTTAAATAACAAAGGTTAGGGGCCAAGGGGCCGGGCTGGGACGGTGCCACACGGCATCCACCAGGCGCTGCCTAAGCAAGTGAGGGGGGAACCTGCAGGGCTCAGCTGTTAGCTGGGGGAGCCGGGGCTGGAGTAGCAGGGGGCTGAGGGGCACTGGCAGAGCTGGGGGGTGGTTGGCACTGCAGCAGGTCGTCCCGTGGCCAAGTAGGGAGCCTGGCCTGGATCCCTCCCATCACTAAACGCCACGGGGGCGATTCCTGCCCTTCCCGGCGGCTGGGCAGTGCCGATTCCTGCCCCCAGCAGGTGGGAATCTCCCCTCTGAACCGCGGCTGCTGCTGCCCCACAAGAGACTGGGTCTGTCTCTCCCGGATCCCTGAGCACTGCCAGCCCACGGGACAGCCCAGCCCCTGCATGGAGAACGGGCAGGGCCCCAGGGGCGAGGCCAAAGGATCTGGGAGTCAGGAAGGGGCCGTTCTGCCGGGCTCCTGTCTCACACGATCGATAGCTCCATTAGCTCCGACCCTGGCTAGATGGGGAATCGTTTATATGCTTATTTCCTTAATGGCTCGTCCTTTATAGAGTCAGATAAATTACTGGGAGTCCGTCTCGCCCGCCATGCGCCCTGCTGCCTTGGGAGGCAGCCGATGCTGAGCGCCCCCAGGGCAGGCCAGAGCAGGGCAAGGGCTGGGCGGGGGTGGGCGGCCCCGTGAGTCGCTGGGACAGAGTTCAAAGCCTGGTTTGGAGCCCAGGGAGAAAGTCGGGGGCTCTCAGGCTGACAGCTAGTGGGCTGCTACCGGCAGAACAGGGGTAATGGGGCGGTCCGGGTCTGGAATGGCAGGAGTGCTGTAGATCACATGATCGGAGCCCCTGTGAGCAGTCGGTTTGTATGGTAACGTATCAGCCTGGCACCCGTGCTCCCTTGTGGAGTATGTCTCCGTTCACCATGAGTTTGCCCTGTGCTGGGGGGGGGACTGTCTGGAGGAGGAGGGGGGCCCAGGGTCAGGTGGGTGGTGTTGCTGCATGCTGTTCAGTGGCTGCCATGTCCCACCCCAGAGGTGGCTGCAGGTGGCTGGCAAAGTCTAAAGCCGGGTCACAGGGCATGTGGGAGCTGGTAATTAAAGGCGACCAGACATCCTTGAGCCCGGGGAACAGGCCTCGCTGGCCCCCTGCTGTGGGTTATTTCCCCCACTGGGCCAGGCCAGGGTCTGGCTGAGGCTGACTTGGGGCAGTGCCTCGTGAGCCAGCAGGAGTCACCCGCTTCCTGGGGCACGAACTGCGGCTCTGCCGGGCTGGGAGTCCACGGGCCATCCAGCAGACCTGCCCCCAGCCTCTGCCCCAGGCCCAGCCCGCGGGTCCTGGCTGTCTAGGTGAGATTCCTGCAGGGCCTCGCTGGCCCAGGGGCTGAGAGCTCCTGTGGGCTGCGGCCCGGCCCTGGGCCATGCCCATGCTGGCTGGCTCCTGTGGGGTGGGCTCCGGGCTGCTCTGCCTCCCTTGAGCTGGGCCCGGGCACTGCCTGGCCCTTGCTGGCGTGATTGGAAGTGGAGGCTTTTCAGCATGTATCGAGGTCCGGGACACACTCCCCTGCGGCGGTGCAGGTGCTCGCCCTGTGGGCCTGGCCCCCTGCAGCTCTGCCCCAGGGCTCTGCATGCTGGCATGGGGGGGAAGGGGTTTCTGAGCCGCTGGCAGCCCCGTGCCAATGTTCACAGGTGGGCTGCCACCTCCCTCCTGGGCTCTCCGTCCATGCCCGTCCCCTGCACTGCAGCCCCTACCAGTCCCCTGGCCTGTGGGGCCATGGCCCAGATGGAGGGGGGCCCATCTCGCTGATAGCAGCTGAGCAGTCAGCCAAGGACCGGGGTGGATGGAAGTTGATCATTTGTTTTCCCCTGCCTGTTAACATGGCCTAGCACGGAGCTGCTGCTGGCGTCCCCTCTGGGAGCGGGGTCACGCCATGACCGCTCCAGTGCTCAGCGTCACCGGGGCTGCTGGCAATGTGTACCCAGAGGTCTGGAGCCCAAGCCAGGCTTGCACAGGGGAGTACGGAGCTGTAGTCTCTGCCCTAGGAGACACTTGGGAGCCCCGGGAGCTGGCTGGGCACCGTCCCGTTCAGAGCAGCGTGG